AAAAAAACCACTTAAAATCCTTTTAAATCTTAAAAAGTCTACAAGCGCAGAGAAACAAAGGCACAAAACTACGAGTAAATTAGGGGCCTTGCTACACAAGCCAAATTTCCATTCAAAAAACACACCAGGATCAAAAATAAATTAGCAAAAGATAAAATCCACTCACGCTTGTTACTGTAATCATCTACCAAAATAATTTCTTTGATGAGTTGCGGAGGAGATCTTAATATCACTGAATGAACGGTACGTAGTAGCGGAGACCAACCTTCGTTGTGAAACACAATCACAACGCTTGCAGTAGGTAGATCTTCAGGATAATGCCAATATTTACACCTGAGTTTTTACTGTAAATGAATATAAAAATTTTCCTCCCTAACCAAGGAGTGACGAGCATACAATTTAATTAATGATGAAACTCCTTAAAACATGAATTTGTTCAACAATAAATTTTGGACTATTACCTAATTTTTTTCCGATTATCATACACGGCTGAAAAATCAATTCTCGTATACTCTAACAAGCTTTGATTAATTTATCTGTACTAAATAATCGGCACTTATATTCCATCCTTTTAAAAACGATATCCAAAATCCGAGATTTCTTTCCACAAAAATTTCAGAAGATTTAACAAAGCCACTCCAGTTGCCGACAGTGATATTAATTTTCCTACAGCTCCTTAACTTCTGAATCCACTGAATGGATTTGGTCATCAAAAATCAAAGAGCAAAGACAAGTCGTCTGGAAATCTGACTTGCAATCAGCAGGTTGAATTACTGTGATCAAGGATGCCGCTTTATGGAAGAAAGATATAAGGCAGTAATGAAAAATCTTCAAGGTGCAACAAACACGGATATTCGTAAATAAACAGCTGCAGCATATCGAACTATAAAACTGTGAAAAACGAAAACCAGATCAAAAGTCCTCTACAAGACAGCTAAGAAAAAGCAGTTCTACCACCAGCTCCTAGCACGTGTTAAGGAATCTCCATATTCAAACCGTGTTGTTAAACAAGACAAACAACAGACTACCTACGATACTTGGAAAAGTAGATACTACTGTCAGACCAAAACAAAAATTTGAGCAGTCATAAACATTCCCCTCACTGACTGGAAGCGACATGCAGTGTTTGGCGATGACCTCTATCACACTTTTCCTTCAGAACTTCAGAAATAACGATGACCAATTTTTAACAGTGGCTGGTAGAAGCAAAGTAACCAGTCGACGAAAAAACAACTTAGAGTACAACTGGACGTTTCATTTCAATGTTTCAAGACAACTCAACGCCATGCATTACGAATATACTGAGATGGAAGATCAGGAAACCAAGAAAAGATATTCTACTTCACCCACCATCTTCAAAGCACCTTCTATCAACCGTCTTTCGTTTCTTCCAAAAGTTTAGATTTTTTTTTGCATAAAGTGAAACTTTAAAAGTAGAAATCAAAAATGGCTTCATAAAATCCTAGAATCCTCAAAATATTAATCTTGAAAAAATGTATTTTTAAATAGAGTCACATGCATCTACAAAAAAAGCTTATTTTGAACAGGAAAATACTTATCAAAATAGCTATTAGACTTGGCGTGTTAGCGGCAGTTTCATCGTCAACGTATTCATACAAAGAACAGTAAATAAACGATTGAACATCTTGACTTACTCGGCCATCCTAACATCGGGTACGCTCCGGTTCAATGAAATCATGTCGCTGACGTACGTGTTAAACCCGTATTCCTCATTTGCTCTAACTGCCTCCGGCAGGCTCAGGTCAACGTGAACAGGATTACCCATTTCCCCTTAAAAAACCGCCAGTAACCAATAAAATTCCTGAGTCAATTAAACAAGAATGATCACAACACTACCGTACTGTCCATTCATTTCTTGTTCTTTTGTAGGCTCAAAGTTTCCCAAAACTCCCGGTCTGAAAATAGTATCAGGGTCTGATTCTCCAGGCAGTTTTCCTTCTTCGGCTGCATTGTCATCAACAACAGCTACATTAACTGGAACTTCGGCATTTCTCCTGAAACGATTTGATTCAATTAATGACTGAAAAATTAAAAGTAATTGGGTTTAACTGAGAAGAAACTGACGTAGAACTACCAGGAAAATTCGAAACGAAAAACAAAAAATCTGATGTCAACTTACTTCTTCCCAAAAATATTTCTGTGCATTTCACGTGCATGTTCCAAATGCTCAAGGCTTACCTCCTGAAATTTCTGTCTATAGCGTTGAAACGAAGAAACAATAGAAGAAAAGAGAGAGAAAAAAAGACCGAACTGTAAAAGAACATAAAAATCCCAAACAGTAAAAACTATAACGATAACTAAGGTTATTTTTAAAACAAACCTCAGGGCTATCATGCATAATAGCGATCGAGAACACAAAAACTAAGAGGCATATCACGAAGAAAAAAAAAAGAACTGATCTGAAACAAAACAACTCTGCAACCCACACAAATCAGCTAATCTCAAAAGACAAAAATTATTTTGTCTTCAAAGAAAATCTTTAAATCCATTTTAAATTCATCGAGTTCCAACTTTCAGCAGCTTACAATAAAAAGACACAAAAACGTATAGCAAAAATTATGAAATATTTATTAAACAATCCTAAAAATCTTTTGTCTGCGATAAACCAAACTTCGCAACTTACAAAAAAAATTTACCTGTGTCTCAGAAACCTCTGCAAATTAAACCAGTGCCTTTTTAGCGACATCTTCTCAGATTGTAAGTTCAGGTACAATATACTGACGCAGAAAAATTCAAAGAATACATCAACAGACAGTTGTTCTTCCAAATTAAACCGTTCAGAGTCAAAACCCTTGAAAGCTAAAACTTTATTTATTAGTTTTCACATAGATATAAAGATGAATTCGCAACAACAACAACAAAAGAAAAGACAATTAGAAAAAAACAAGACAAAAACAAAAAAAGAGGAAAAATATAGGAAGAAAACGTGGACTTTTACAAAATCAAAATCAAATGAGATACGACAACAAACATAATTATCAGAAATCATGTTATATGAGTCTAATTCAACAAACTAAACTTATCTTTTAGAAAGAACACTGAGCTGATATTCAAATTTCTGCTAACCATTAAAAACCAATCTAAACAATATGCAAAAAACAAAAGGTGATTAAAAAGCTCTATGGCTCAACTCCTTCAAATAAATCGCCAAAATCTTCATAAAAATCCGAATGTAAAATTTTCTCCTGTCTTGTGTTTTCCACAACATCGGCAGCACATTCTGTATCCATAAGGTCAGCAACCACTTCGGAATCGTTAGTAGGCTTAGGTGCTGATCCTTTACTCAATGAAAAATCTGGAAACCGTTGAGATACATTAGAGTTGCCCTCCTTCGTTGGCATCTTAACGCTGTCTGACATAATTAGTCACCCTTTTTCAAATAGTTCTTCGAATTACAATACAATAAAGCCTTCAAACAGCGTCCACTTAAAGTCTCCGGGATCAGAAAGCAGTAATACTCTCGGCAGGTAGAACGCTCTTGAAAACCTACAACTATCAATTAAGAGAAATTAGTAAACCAATTCGGTTGCATCTCATCACTTTATTATCTTGCAAGACTGTGCAAGTGAGAAAAAATGTCAGACCAAAATACACCAATGAGCAAGAAAGATAGAAAGAAGGGTATGATGAAACGACGGCTGCACTTCAATACGTCAAACATGACAAAAGAAATAACGTTTGGAGAACCAACACGAAATCTAAAAAAAACTTTTCATAAGTTCTTCACCTCCAACAAAACCCAAAAATCAGATCTTTTCGCTGAGAACAATGTTATGAACTAGGTCTAAAACAAAATACTCAGTTATACCACTAACGTTATGCTGCTCAGAGGTACAATGAAGTATAATGTATTCATGTGATTGAAAAAAGCCTAGAAACACAGCTGGGGTAAATTGAACAAATTATTGAATAAAAAACAAATACAACTGTCCACATCAAGGCTTTTTCCGATTACAAGTAG